AAATCTTTGTTTGAAAGAACATTTTTCCATCCTTTTACTATAATTCACACCCATTTAGTCTCATTTRTCTTTTATTCAATTAATTGGTAACTGAAAAATATTGTCAGTGTTAGTATGATAATCTAAGCCTATGCATGTCATGCAAGCTTGACAACTTACATTAAAGATTTGTGCAGAACWTATTTAAATCATCCTTTAGAAACTACTTAGATTTATTTTGTAGATGAAATCAAGAGTCAAAAAAGTACTGGATGAGTTAGCCAAGAAAGACCCAAGGTAYGTACYMGYAGTCTGTGGTCTGGCTGAATTMCTATGAATGAGGGCAAAGCASTATTGATTGTTATGTCTGATAATATTATTTAGTGCAAATTAATGGTCCGTATCTAATGTTATTGGCACATGTATAAAGACTCAAGTCTGAAATCTTACTCACAGTGGTAATTTATCATGATTACATTATTTTATAATCACTGACATGGAAATATTTGATACTGGTTTAGTGCTGTGGATGAGATGAAAAAGAATGCATGGAAGAGGTTCGGAAAAGATCACCCAGTGAGTTAGACATTTATAACACATACGGCACACGTCTAAAGTGCACTTACTATACCTTTTCAAGTCCCAAAATCCAAAATTAGACTCTTGAAACTATCAATAATTTGTGGTATTATCCAAGGAGTTTAACCTGAAAAAGAAAATAATCATTAGAATACTATTACTTGTAGTGTAATATCTTAAGATGCAAATCACCTCATGACTTATATCCAACATATAATTAGGACAAGTCATTTGTGGAACCATTTCCTGTCCCACTGGCAATCATTGGTGGAAAATATGATATTTATCAGGTAAAGTGCRGCTAACTTGTCCATCTATCAAATATTGTAGCCCCAGTCCAGGACTATACACCCTTTTAATAAGTCCCAAGGTATCGAGTTCTCCACAATTGACGTCAAATTTATTCTGTTGAAATTTTTACAATACAAAAGGAATTCAAAAGAATAAATTTGACATCAAGTGCGGAGAACACAATACCTCAGGACTTATTAAAAGGGTGTATAACCAAGGGTTAATACTGGGTGCACATGCAACTCCTGATGAAAGTAAAAGTTCCACTTATCTATGTATCAAGAATATCATTTGTTTAATTTGTTTTCCTATTCTCCACAGGACCTTGATCCAGAAAAGCGTAAAATGATCAGTAAAGCATTRCGTTTTGTTGCCCACAGCAATGGTGCACATTTGCAGGTAATTATTGACAGCCACCATCCCATAATGCTTTAGAAAAGCAATGGAGGTAAACGATCCCATCCCACTAGCTATGAATTTCTACCTACTTGTTGTTATCATTAGTTTTTCAGCACAAAATCAGAAAACCTTACAGGAAGAGCCCGYGCTTTGATTGGTCATCTGTTATTCCATACATCGCTTAGGTAGGATTAACTTGCCACATGGTACCAAATGAAACTATGTCTACTAAAACATAAACCAATCTCTAAACTAAGGCTTTCTATAGTATGAATATTTCTTATAATTGGTAACTTTTCTCTGGGTGCTGTKTTGTATCATTGTTTTGGTTACTTGTGCTATTTCAGCAATTAACCTAGTWCAATGTTTTGTTGACTACGTTTCGTTGCCATTTTGGTCAACTTTGTCAGGTTGTTTTTCCTTCTCAATGACGTAGATTTTTCAAAGCTGCTGTTAACGTGATAAAGTGAGTAGGAAAAACATCAAGAGAACAACAAAAAAATTGCAATTGGTGCAAGCTGAATAGCACAAGTAACCAAAACAATGAGTATTTCTTGTTTGTGACTATTTGACTTTTTTAATGAATAAATGATACTTTAATAATATATTAATAATAAATTAATGATTCATTGATAAATGATTTTCTGCCTTCAGTAAATCAGTTTCATTGGAGCACAGCAAGCCRATCATTGTACCTGCAGGGCTTGATACTCTCAATCAAATAGGTATAGAACAACATGTATCCACAGGTACAAATGACACTAGTCCAGTTTCTAAGTCTTTCTTATTCATTATTCTACTCCAGGTGCTCCACCTGTGTCAAGCGAAGACCTCGGAAAGCTACAGTCAAGGTAAATTACTAGAATCAGCATTTCTGATAGCCTGTGTACATCTGTTCCCATCCCTCCCCTTCTAAGGAGAAATTCCTCCACAAATTTCCCCAATAGGGGGAGGGGTGGGAACGGATGTACACACAATTAATGGTGTTCATTCATCGCGCCAAACAAAAAAGTTTTCATTTGCGCGCGCGCGAAAATTTGTTTTTATCATAAAGCTCAGTAATTGTGATGTTATTTTCCAACAGAAGTCCATATGACTTGTGGAAAGCTTCGTACGCAACGTTCTTCCCACCGGAGGTAAAACATTCGAAAMATTTCAGCACAAATGTTTTTTTGGCATATTTCTTATATGATTTTGAGTATTTGCTAGAATGTTCATCGCAACCAAGGAGACGATCCATCAAAAGATCCACAGTTTTACGAATCAGCGGTTGATGCCATGAGAAAACAAAAAGACGAGGTACGTCGTCTTCCTAATCGTCATGCATTACTTTAATGTTTGTCTTTATTTTTTCATTTCCTATGTGGGCATCCTTTCCCTCTTTTTCCCTTCGTTTCTTTCATTTTTTTCTTTCTTGTCCCTTCCCCTTTTTCGCTTTCTTTCTCTAACTAAATTTACCCATTTTTAAAGACCTCTAATTGTCTCTTTCTTTCTGTTTTTCTCTTACGCCCCTGGAAATCTAACGTTCGTTCTCCATATGTTCATTCCAGGAACTAGAGAGATATCGTAAGATGGCGGAAAGAAAGGCGCGCGAAGCCAAGATGGCGCACACGGATAGTGGKAAATCAACTCGAGTTAGATAGATTATACGACTTCGTTTACTTATTTATTGTAATCATTCGATTTATAACAAGCCACAACAAGTATTATTGTTTTTGTTGGAGTCACATGATCAAATGGGTAGGCATGCGCATGTCACGTTAATCTACGTCATTTTTCAGTGAGACCCGTTTTTGTGCTAATCAAAGATGGAATTCCCCGTGAACTCTGATAAAAAGTTTCGTTTTTCGATTACAGATCTTTGGTAGAAATAAAGTAGCTTTCGGGTAAAAGGTCGAGATACCTTTTACTATGCACAAGGTTAGTTTTTGTGGACAAATTTTGAAGGCGCAACAACAAAAATATAAATGTGACAAATCGTTCTAGTACATTCTCTGTTGTGTAAACTCAATTTGCGCAAGGTTAAAAGCTCAAGCCGCGCCTGTTGTTGTTGTTGTTGTTGTCTATCTCTTTTTTTCTCTTCTTTGTCAAATTTTAAGAAGTATTAGAGCTAATGCATGGCGCATTTTATTAAGAATTTATCTACTAAGGTCTTGTAATCTTCTTTCCGTGGGCGACGAGAAATGAGCGCATATCACTATAGACGATGGTCTGTCTGATGCGTCGTTTTCTCTCTTTCTTCCTCTTTCTTCGCAATCCTTTTCCAGTCTTCTTGTTAGTTCTTCCTCTCCTTCTTGTCACACTGCAGAGTCTTGTTCATCTTCTTCTTTTTCTTTGCATTTCCCTTCTTTTCATTCTTCTCGTTTTCTTTTTGTCGTCGCCTTCCAGTTTCCTTTGCATGTCATGTGCTCTACTTTTGATTTATATTTATARGCAATTTCGCAATAAATAAAGAAGGTAAGACACTGCAATCGTTCCGGTGTTGTTATTATTTTACAAAAATAAAGCAAAATGCATCGCCRCAAGCTTATTCCCCGGTACAGATTCTAACATGATTTCGAAACATTTCAGTGCGCGGTCGGGGCGAAAGAGAGCGAAATGTCGAGTGCATTTGCAATAAGTTTCCTATCGGTAAATGCAGTATCGATGTACACTACACTCTAATGAAATATCTAAGTTAGCTATACGATAACAGATATCCGTACAATATAGTGATTTACAGGGTTAACATCTGATACAAAACMCTTGGACAATCAATATTTTGTGCAGGTGTTTCCACAGACACGAAAAACAAACTTCCGCTGAACTGAACTAATTTTCARTGTATGCAAAACGGTTTTTTCTCGAATTTACAGCTGGAAGCTTGAGTCAATCTGTAGAATTATTGGAGCATATTACACGTACTGTTTTCGCGTTTAGACCAGTGATATTGTGTTTTTTATTCGAGTTCATTATCGTGGGTTGCTACAATGTGTCAGCAGTCTGCTTATCTTCCTTTTTATTAAAATTTGTACCCCTGGGGCTTGRATGACACAAATCTACAAACGCTTTGAACAATCAGACTATACCGATATTTCTGATGYACAAAGAAGGGAAAGCGCAAGTCGCGCAGTCAGGGAATTTGCAATTACTGGCATTGACAAATTACAAAGGAATTACAGACTATTGTTGTTTTCTTATCATGTTCGTCATTTCATAAATTATTCAAAACATATGTCTTTTAGTATTTTATATGGAAGAATTGAGAAAACAAAGACGTTTTAGAAGTATACTGTCAAGAGTTTACACAGCAGTGATAAGTATTTTAGAAAGGGGAGAATTTCGTTGGAACTTGTGAAATATCTGAGAGATTCACGTCTTTGTAATTGGTTGTATAATACTCTTATAAAAAGGACAAAAATATGTTGTTTCCCGTTGGTAGGGTTMCCAGGATCATGCTGACTTTCTTACATGTTGTTGATCAAATAAAACTTTTAGACTAAGAATTTTCACTTGTCCGAACTGTTCATTACATCTGTATTGGGGCAAAAAATGCTAAGATGGCTGATAAAATTATAAGCTAGTCGCAAGTTATTTTTATCATTTTTTTCTTTATTCTATTCATTTTCTTTTTCATTTCTTTATTATATTACAAATAACTGAAAATTCAAGATTTCGAAAATTTGAACAACATCTTAGTTCGGCAACTTTTAGGACATTTGATTCGAAGAAGATCAGCCAATTGTTATGACATCACAATAGACATGATTGACAGGCCYTATTATTTTGYGCGCGGCTCCCTTTCAGTCATTAGTTGTCATGGTAACATCAGCCGTCTATAATATTCATGTGAACTGCGCAGGAAAAGTTTAAACGCTCTCCCTTCGTGGAGCAAAAATGGTCCGCTACAGCATGAAGAAGAGATGACTGTCGCCAACAATAATAGACCTACCATGACAGGCCAGAATTTCGTCGATAATGGAGAAGAATCGCGGCAAGATGGCACACGATTGAGCTCGTACGACAAACTTACCCGTGATCTGTCCACAAGTGAAAAATTAAAGCAAGAGGTTGCCCTAGGCAAACGTATAGGATTCTACAGAATTAGAGGAGAGCTTGGATCTGGTAACTTTTGTCAAGTAAAGATGGGAATACATGCTTTAGCTCGAGGTTGGTTCAAATACTACGTCTTGTTCCGACGTGGACCTTTTCAATGACWCTACTATTATCATTGTAAACATTATAACCTTTTATTTCTTGCAGAAAAAGTTGCAATAAAGATCCTAGACAAAACTAAGCTTGACCAAAAGACACAGCGTTTGCTTTCAAGGGAAATTTCTGTTATGGAGAGACTTCACCATCCAAATATTATTCGCATTTACGAAGTTATTGAAACGTTACCTAAAGTTCATATTGTCATGGAATACGCTGGTGGAGGAGAGCTCTTTACCAAGATTTCAAATGAAGGAAAACTGCCTGAAAAGACAGCAAAAAAGATTTTTTCTCAGATACAATCCGCGGTTGAGCATATGGTAAGTTTGAGTAGGTTATTTCATGTAAACAATGATGAGAATCTTCTGATGAAAACATCACATGCGCGCTCCCCTGAATGATAATTGTATTCGATTTCTGGATCCTTGCGTTGTTACAAATTATATCCGTTTTATAGCAAAACATTTTATTATGTTATGGCGAAACTCATGGGAAAATCATACTTAGATGAATTAAGGTTTCCATTGCCCAAAAACCTCTACAAAGTAATACGATCTTGAGATAAACACTTAGGAAATGATCAAAACATAGAAATTTAATACAATTATTTGTGTATGTACCTCTTTCAATCGCTAATAAWGCATTACTTTTCCTTTGCAGCACAATAAAAATATCATCCATCGGGATCTCAAAGCCGAAAATGTTTTCATTGCTGGGCCAAATCTAGTGAAAGTTGGAGATTTTGGATTTAGTACAACTACTGCCAAAGACAATCCACTGAACACGTTTTGTGGTTCACCTCCATACGCTGCACCAGAGCTATTTCGAGACGAGAATTATGTTGGAATATACGTAGATATTTGGGCATTAGGTATTATGTGTTATTTTATGGTGACCGGAGTTATGCCTTTTAGAGCTGAAACTGTTGGAAAGTTAAAAAAATGCATTTTAGACGGTACTTATTATTTGCCCGATTTCCTAAGCGAGCATTGCCGGGAGCTAATACGCAACATCCTCCGGCCAGTGCCTTCCGATCGCTTGACAATGGAAGAAATACGGAGGTCTAAATGGTTAGAAAGCGAAGTTTTTCCTGAAGCGGACGCTAAATACAGCCTTTCACCTCCTTTCGATGGTCAAAAATGTACAGAGGACGAAAAAGAAGCGCTCAAAATCTTGGGTGAACTTGGGGTTACGACGGAAGTAATCGCKAGAGGGCAGGACAGGCGAGAGAGTATAACAGGGTCATACAGAATCATACTTCATCGAGTACAAAAAAGAAAAGCAGAACTTGTACGTAAGTCTTCCACAATGACCACATTCAGCCATTACAACAACAGACCAAGAGATTTAAGACAATCGAGAAAACAAGAGGTGGAAGATAGGGACAAACAACAACCAAAATCGAAATTTTGTACAATATTGTAACAGTCCTTGACACCTAATTGTAACTGTAGATTTAACTAYCCCGCAAATTGGTGAAAATTCACTTCACACCTCATTATATCTGGCCGCCATATATATTATTTGCTTATGCAAAATCTGGATTAGTAGCTACTGAGCATATTTCAAGATCTGTATCTCGAAAACAAGAAAAAGAAATATTTCAAATTTCCTTCAATCCATATCTAACTCAACTGAAAAATATTTATTGGGAAATTGTATATAGTAAATGTTTTCTACAAGATTTACCATTTTTACAATTATGAATTTTAGATTTACATAAGCACTTCAAATCACATCCCACTGGTATTACCACATTTAATATTTACATAGCATTTTTAGTTATTTCACAGAAAGACGCCAAAAAATCAATAAGGTTGTGGAGAAAATGCACAGAAAATGATATTTTGATAGTATTATTTTGTTTTGTTTTTCATGAAGTCTTAATATTTTTAGACCCAATTGTGTTTATCACTTAGTTTCCATGGCAATCTATTGATTTGCGAACAAGGGGCACTCTAAAGTATTATCATAAGAATGCATAGACAAAGACCRTCTTTGGAACATGGTAGACTTTGCATTGGCCCCAAGTTTCAATCATCCATTAAACCACGCTTAATTCTCTCACTATAATCACAGTTATCTAGATATTGCCATGGCAACTTTGCGATATAAGAAAACTGAAAGATTATTCTGCATGACACAATATTGTAAAATATATTTTTGTTAAAGAAAAGTGATGGATAATAATCAACAAAATACAAACAAACAGTTTTTATTTGGATGGTTATAAGTATTTTTGTTACAGAGAATTGCACTGCAGAGGTGTATTTTGGAAATAATGTTATTAACAGTTGTCAAACCTCATTATCACGTGGTTTAAGACACACGGCTCCATTTAGCAAGAATATTAAACATGTTTGCTGATGTATTTTTCATGTGAATTGTCTTATCATTAATCTTGAATACAGCCAGCATGTAAGGAAATAAGCCTAATTGCTGTGTCGAACTTCTGATCAAAGAGTGATTTATCTAGTAATTTATTTTTCCATTCTATCTTTTAAATCATTTGTYAATCTTTTCATTAATTCAATCATTTGCTTTCTTTTATTCTTCATTTATTTTTTTAAAACAGTCAAAAAGACATGCATAATCATTTCATTTAGGTTTGAAATGCATATAAATATATTTGGTATTATTTGATTTACCTTCATTATTTATTCATTTTGTTTATTCTATTGTTTTATTTATTTACTCATATATTTATTTATTCACTCAWTTGTTTATTTATAGTCAGAAACGTTTGAAAATTTGTTGCACTCACGGCATGCAACAACAACTAAAAAACCATTTATATCAAAAATAATTAGAAAATTAGAAACAGAAAAATAATATTGTTTGGCTAACAGGCCTTTCTTATCAAACACAGGAAGACACTCAGAAAAGTCAAATCCTTTCTAGGACAGCTTCCTCTCTTTGTACAAATTGTATTAACGAGCTGATTCATTCAGGACCGACAGGACCCTAAAATCATGCCTACTAAAATGAATCACTTATCATACTTGACACCTTATTCTTCTCTTCCGTTTGATGTAAAAAAAAAACATAAAAAAACCAGTTTTGAATGATTTATAGCCAGCTATGTTTTGGAAAGACTCGATCAAGTCTGATGCTCTCTTCTGTTGTGCAATATCTAGTAGCAATACAGGCTAAAATTTATACTACAAAATGTACAGTATTCTTTTTTTCAAAAATTTATTCAATTTTTTTTATCCTTCTAGTATTTTGTCTTCTAAATTAAAATTGTCCTAATTTCTTACTTCAATAGAATCTTTTAAGAGAAAAATATTCTTATATATATAAATATCTATAGGGATTAATGTCAACATTCTCCACCCCACCCCTTCTAGGTGGTATAGCATGTGGCGGGTGGTGATATGGATCTTTTTAAAGAGATTAACTAAAGGTACATATTTTAAAGTACATTCTGTTTAATGATCAAGCTGGGGTCTCCTTTTATCTTGGATTGGAAACACAGCCCAACATAATATCTGATACAATTTGAATATTTAAAAGATATGAATTATGTTTGAAAGGCCTCCAGGTGCATGAAGGTAAAGAATTTTTTACAACTGGGAAATGGGATTAATTGTGATTATGAATTATAAAAGAGAATGGTGTTTCAGTGTTTTAGACATAAAATGACATTTTGGATATTAGAGGGCTACGAAATTTGATGAAATTAAGCGTGGAATTCCACTAATTTCTCAAAAGTATGAATATTAACGTTTACAGCACGCATAATTTAAACAAAAAAAATACATAAATAAATGTATTCTACTTACCAGAGGCCCAAAAACATTTCACTTTTATCATAAAATGCCATTTTGATTGAGCAACCAAGAAATKACATTTTCCAGAAATAGTTCTTACATTTTGACTGGATTGGTGGGATCCCTGTGGTACTTGTCCAGTCCTTCCACCGAGGCGATATCCCGTATGTGCTACATGCTGCAAGTGCTGAATGGAGATTGTTTTGAAACTTTTCMTTCAAATTYAATCCGATTGTTTGACTTTCAGYCTGTTGTTATGCTATCCTATTTTATAAATAGGCTCGATATTTTTCAAATTTTCGTGTAGATGTAGTAATCGATGGCTTCTAACAGTGAAATTATTAAAGTGAAAATGGATCCAGAGAAAGAAGAACTCCTTGCAAAGTCGAAAGAGGAGTTTGCTAGAAGACGGAAAGTTGTTCTCGGGAATATTCCTGATGGCGTGAACTTAGGGGTAAGTTTGCTYGTTGAGCTATTTGTGACAGTYTCAATGTAAAATGGCTATAATTTGACCACAAGTACGTTAAACTGGTCTGAAGAATGTCGAAGTAGAACAATGGCTGTCTCAGTTTGTCAATTTTACTGTAATTCCACGTTGTGAATAATTGCCTTTGGCATATATTAATCTCCTACATTGTAACCCTTGTTGTGGATAACTATGAATATGTTTTTTTAATGATTTTTGATAATCAGTGTATGAATTTCATGAAATAAAGTATAAGCTTGTATGTTTAATAAAGTCAACTGGATGTGATTTTTGGCATATATTAGACAACTAATCTTTCCTTTATATACAGGAACTAAAAAATACTATTCTTCAAGGACTAAATGCAATGGAAGTCAAAATAGAAAACAGATCAGGTTTGTTAGCTAAAATTGAAGTTAATCCTGGATTTAACACTTCTTGGGCTTTGAACAAATGCAGGTCTAGTACAATCTTTTAAAAAAATCTTTCTTTTTTTTATCATCAACAGTGTTCATATTATTCAAGAATGTTGCTGATGCAGTGAAAGGAGTTGATACATTAAGGACCCTAAACTATGCTGAYTTTGCGGCAAAAGGAATCACCATCAACTTCCCTGAGCCAGACAGTCTTCTCTTTGTAGGAAATCTCCCCTTCGAAGTTGATGAAGACCAACTTGGTGAACTAATGAGCCAATTTGGTAAACTTGAAAGAGTGTTTCTTGTACGGAGTGAATTAACAGGAGAAAGCAAAGGGTATGGCTTTGCTGAGTACACTGACAAAATAACTGCAGGGGAAGCAAAACAGCAGTTATTGAATAGYGGAGCCAAATATATATCTGGTAGGATTTTAAGAGTCGATTTTGCCGAACCCAATCTTCGTACATACAAAGATTTACACTCCAAGACATTGTTTCTTGACAAACTACCAAGGGATTTTACAGATAGTGAAGTACTAAAGGAGCTGTTTAGTCAATCTGGGAAAGTTACCTATGCACAGGTTAGTGGTGGTGTTAATAGCATTGCCTCTTTCACGATTCCTTATACCAATTTAAAAGGTAGCAGTGCCTTTCAATTATTGAAGTGAGACAACAATTCAGCTTCAATGCAACAAAAGAAACTTCCTTTCACTCCTATGTTTTTAAAGGCCTGTTTACACTGCGATTATTGCAATCCATGGATAATAAAAGCACCACCATTTTGCGACCATCGCTTGAGTTTTAGACTCGCGTGAAACTTAACTGCAGCTTCACTGCAATTTTTGGCTGCCACAATTGCAGTGCTTTTTACATAAATTATTGTTCAATTTGAGATGCACAATTTAAAGTGGCAATTATTGCGARACAATTGCACTGTAAAATGCACAAGTGTAAACAGGCAACTATTTTATTCATAAGTATCTATCATAGCATGCTCACCACCAGTTATCTCACATTGATGCAAAGGCAACCTTAACCTAATTTACCTTATAACTCTAACAACTTTTGGTGTTCTGGTTGGCCATCAGGTTGCCATTAGTGTTCARACAGGAACATCAAGAGGTTTTGCATTTGTTGACTATGAGACAAGTGAGGATGCAGAAAGAGGACAGATAACCCATAATAACGCTAAAGTAGGCAATTGTAACATACGCACTTCATATGGAACTCCAGGACGCTCTGGTGCTAGTGTGCTGGGACCATGTACTTCAGCAGAGGTATTTGGAG